ACTATCACTGCCAAATGACTGGGTATCCACGCCCAGTGAAGTTGACACAGAACCTTAACTATCACACATACCAATAATCATGAGACTGGCATGGGACTACACAGTACTTCATTCTGTTAGACATAGAGTCATCACCAGTCACAGTCAACTCGACTGCAACCACCAGAAACAAAGGATTTAGTGCCTGGAATTTGATAGGTGATTAGTACTTGGAAACTATGATTATTATATGTTCATTTCAGTAAAGTGATATTCTAGCCATCCAATGGTAACTCATGAGTTTTATGTATGAAACTTTAACACTTTTCTTTTCTCCAAATTCATGGGGACCTATTACCTTTTATTTCCACATTTCAATTGTTTGAAGAATAGATTGGGGGTAAGGTGTCACATAAGAAATAAAGGTCAGGTTGTATCATCACTGGTACTTTGAAAATACCCTGGAATGAATTTCCTTGGATCCATAAGACCCCGTGCTACTCTTAATAAATTAAGCACCTGGGTTTTTAAGAAATGTCAACCAAGTCTTCCTTGCAGGTTTTCATATTCCTATATTTGATAGCTCCCATTTGTCAGTTTGTCATTCTCTGGAGGCATGTATGCTGCCACAATACGGGAAGCTATGCCACCAATATTTCAAATACCAGAAGGGTTACCCATGGTGAGCAGGTTCCAGCAGAGCTTCTAGACTAAGACAGTTCGGATGAAAATCTTGATGATCTACTTTTTTAAATTAGCCAATGGAAACCCTATGGATCACAACAAAACATGGTCTGATATAGTGCTAGAAGATGAGTCCCTTAAATTGGAAGACACTACACAATGGCCACAATGATGGAGTCAAACATGCCAGCAATCTTGAAGAAGGCATAGCACTAGGCATGGTGTTATTGAAGCTCTGAGGAGGTACGTCAAACTAAACAGTCAGAGAATGTTTCTTGGAGAAGGCTGATGGAGAGTGTGGGTGTGTTGGGAAGAAATGGGATGGATGGTATATCCTAGGCAGAAGGAGCAGATTGAGAAGACCCAGAGGCCTGAAATTTCATGGATATTTGGGGATCCCTGGTGTTGTAATGGTGAAGCACCCAGCTGCTAATAGAAAGATATGAAGTTTAAACCCATCAGTGAGTCCATGGGAGAAAAGACCTGGTGATCTGTTTCTGTAAAGATTTCCACCTAGGACACCCGATGGGCAGTTCTACTGTGTCCTGTCTCAGAATTGCTGGCACACAGCAACAACACTACATGGTTAGTGTTCTGATTATAATGGAGGATGCTGATGAGGGGAGTAGAAGAGGAAGAGTCAGTGAGATGCCCAGCTATGATGTGTGGGTAATGGAAGGCCTGGTGTGCATAGCTTGGCCGTCTAAGCTTTCTCTAGAAGACTGTGGGGAGCCACGAATGAATATGAAGCTTGGGAGTGATGTAAACACAGTAACACATGGTCAGATAGCTGCTTCGTCAGAAGTATGGAGCAAGGATTGAAGAAAAGCTTGATGAGAAACAAGAAGACCAGTTGTCCCAGTGAGAAAGCCTGACAGTGGACTGGAGAGACCAGAATCCCAAAGATACTCTGTAGGACTTGGTGATTAATTGATGGCTGTAGGTGTCTGAGGTGATTAAAACCACAGATCACTGCAAGTTAAAAGAGGAGCAAATTTTCATCACCTGGAGTCGTCATGATTCCTTAGGTTCCTGTCAAAATGAAGCCAAGGTAGATGTGGCACACTGGAAGCTAGAAATTGGCAGCGAGGGTGATACGGGCTCTCTGCTCCCAGAGACACTTGGGAATATGGCGGATATCTGTGTTAACTCAAAGACCAATGTGTACTTCACACAATTCCAGCCAAGTAGGTCAATGCATCATATAATTCATTCATTTGTTCACTCAGTTTTAACTGAATAACTCAGGGAGGAACACTGCAGGGAAGGGTCCTGAGGTAGTAGCAAGTTTGGCTGCCAGCCTTGTTGAAGCCACATCCCCTTCCTGGGTTACTGTTGTAGCCCTCTTACTGTCTCCCTGATCTCCCTTTGCTCTGCCATCCTCAGCACTGGACCCAGGGCAATCCTTTTAAAAATATAAGTGAGCCTTCACCTCAAAACCTTCCAGTGACTCCCTAAATCACAAGTAGCAACCGAAGTGCTTACAATGGAGTCTAGGCCCTTCCCAGTTTGATCTCTATCTTTCCTCTCTGGTTACAACCTCTACACCTAGGCCTCCTTTCCCTCTGCTCTGGCAGCCCTGCCCTCCTTCCTGCTACCTGAACACACCAAACAGGCACCCACCTTGCAGTCAAGTACTGCATGGTTTTCTTCCTCATTTAAGGTCTTGGCTTGTGTGGCAAAGGTTCCCAAGACCACTCCCATGTTTAAAGACTCACTCAGGGGATTCACAGGACTCGGCATATAATCGTCCACATGGCTATAATGTTTTATAGTGAAAAGATACCAAGCAAAAATCAGCAGAGGGAAAAGGTGCATAGTGCAAAGTTGGGGGTGAGGGGGACCAGATACAAGCTTTCAAGAGTCCTCTTCCAGTGAAGTCATACAAGACATGCTTAATTCCCCCAGCAGTGAGTTGTAGCAACACTGAAATGTTGCCTCCATGGGTGCACATTAGTTTTTACTGGGAGCTAGTCACAGTGGCTGGTAGCGTAGTGGTTACAAATCGGGCTACAAACATCAAGGTCAGCAGCTCGAAACTACCAGCTGCTCCACAGGAGAAAGATGAGGCTTTCTACTCCCATAAAGATTTACAGCCTTGGAAACCCTACTCAGGGTCGCTATGGGTCGGAACCGACTCGATGGCACATAACAACAACAACAAGTCACAGAGGCACACTTAACAGAGCATGCACCACAATTCCAGACTCCCAGGAAGAAAGCAGAGGTTCAGCATAAACTGTATTGTTTGTACAAACAGTTAAGGCACACTGAGGTACTCTTACCAGGGAAGGATGGGAACTTCTCTGAAATTTAATATCCTAGACACCATCCAAGGCCAACCTTGCAAGCCGGCTTTTCTAAGGATAACAGTCTCAAGCCTGTTACGTTAATTCAATCCTGCACAGCCCAATAGTACCTTCTCAACGAGACCCTCTCTCACCACCCTATTTAAAATAACAACTCCTCCTCCAGCATGCTTTGCCTACCGCCCCCCTCCCCATTTAATTTTTTTCCATAGCACTGGTCACTATTTAAGATACTATTGTTGTTGTTGTTGTTAGGGGCCACATACTCATAGCAGCCTTGTGCACAACAGAACAAAACACTGCCCAGTCCTGCACTAACCTCACAATCATTGCTACACTTAAGCCCATTGCTGCTGCCACTGTGCCAGTCCATCTCATTGTGGTGCTTCTTCTTTTTCACTGACCCTGCACTACACAAAACATGATGTCCTTCTTCAGGGACTGGTCCCTCCTAATACTATGTCTGAAGATGAAGTCTGGCTAGCTTTGCTTCTAAGGAGCATTCTGGCAGTACTTCCGACACAGATTGGTTTGTTCTTTTGGCAGTACATAGTACTTTTAATATTCTCCTCCAAAAACATAACTCAAATGCATCGATTCTTCTACACTATTCCTTATTTATGGTTCAACTTTCACATGCATATTGAAAGGCTATTGAAAATATCATGGTTTGGGTCAACACACCTTAGTCCTCAAACTGACATCTTTGCTCTTTTGAACATTTTAAAGAGGTCTTGTGAAGCAGATTTGCCTAATGCTTCAATTTCTTGGCTGCTGCTTCCATGAGTATTGATGGCTGATCCAAACAAAATGAAGTCTTTGACAACTTCAATTTTATTCTCTGTTTATCTTGATGTTATTTATTAGTCCAGTGGTGAGGATTTTTTGTTTTCTTTTACACTGGGATGCAACCCAAACGGAAGACTCTTTATCAGTATTTAAAGTCTTCTTTGTTTACAACAAGCAAGATACTATATAATCTACTTATTTCATTGTATCCTGCCTATCTTCCATTAAAATGTAACTTTCATGAAGCACTTAGGACAGTGCTTGGCACACATGGGGGGGGCGGATATTCAATAATATGCAATGAACAAATGAGTGAATGAATTTTTTAAAAGGAGAAAAAGAATACGGCCCATACAATTAGAACAAAGTAATTTGGTCTCTCCCTTACAGAGAGAAGTAGGAGGTGAGGTCACTTCAGACAGGAAACTTGTCAGTTGTGGGAAGGGTTTACATAAGCATATGTCTTCATTCCCATGAGCCCCATGGAACTGCCCACACCGGATCTCTACCAGTTTGTCAACTTCAGCTCACCCCACATCATTAGTATTTCTGGGGCCAGTCACCTAGCCATACTCTGCACATGTACTGAAATTCCAGACTCCCAGAAAGAAAGAAGAGGTTCAGTCACGTGACTCTTCTTCTTCCTTTCCTCTTTAGTCAAAAGGGCAATTCAGAATTTCTTATGTGCACTAACTATAACACTACATGTTTTGCTGTCTGAGAATTTATTACTGCTATAATAATTTTATGGAGCCCTGGTGTGGCACTGTGGGTTAATGCGCTGGGCTGCAAGGTCGGTTTGAACTGCAAGGTCAGCAGTTCAAGTTCAACAGCTGCTCCTTGGAAACCCTATACTGCTTCACTATGAGTGGGAACTGACTTGAAGGCACTTAACAACAACAGTAATTTTATTATTGGTATAAATTATTTAGCATTGAGTTCTCCATTAGATTGAAAATATCTGGCTTGTTAACACATTTTCTTCAGTGTCTAACCCAGAACTCAACAAATATTTGAATGAATGACTTGCTTTTCTTCAGAGTGTGCATGACCCTGGACTAGGATAGCCTTCCTGGGGACCTTGAACAACCCCAGAACCCTCCCCACTCACAGGCTCCCCAACTTCAGACTTTCAGACTCAGATGGGTCTTCCTCACAATGCCAGGCAGCCATACCTGCTTGAGTCAGCCTCATAATGACCTGATAGCTGATGTTTCACTGTGGATATTCATTTCACAGGAGTCCTTGGAAAAAGCCCGACTGTGTGCACTCATTGGGGACCAGCTCATCCAAAGCCATCACTATGCAGCGGACACCATCAGGCCCAAGTGTGTGGAGCTCAGGCACCTCCGCGATGACTTCATCAATGAAAACAAGAAAAAATGGGACATCTTAAGGAAGTCTTTGGAGTTGCATAGACAACTGGATAAGGTGAGCAGAGCAAAACCGTGAGCATGGCGTCTTCAAGATTTTCTATAAAATGGTCTGAGTTATACTTTTGCCTCCCTACCCCAAATAAGGAGGCTTCGTGTGGTGCTGTGGGTTAATGTGTCAGACTGCAAAGTCGCTTGAACTGCAGGGTCGGTGGTTCAAGCTCACCAGCTGCTCCTTGGAAACCCTATAGATTCACTATGGGTCGGAATCTACTCAACGGCACTTAACAACAACCCCATATAGGGAGAGAAAGTATTTTATCTAAGTGAGATAATGTTCTTTATCTAGTCCCTCATCTCCCTATGCTAAGTAATTTATGCTAAGAAGATAAAGTACTTTATGTGACACAGTGCTCAGAAAGCATTAAAAATTATTCCAGTCCTGTTAATACTTGTGTTGAAGGTAGAAGGTGCCCTAGCCATCTCACCACATCCTATTAGAGTTCTTGAGAGTCCGTTTCCCACTGTGTGGATCCAGACTTAACTGGTCCTATGGGATGTTTCTTGATTTCCCTTCAGGAGTACAGAGAATCAAGCACTGTATTTGCAAAGTGCTTCCCTGATATAAGGAGGCCTGGTAGCACAGTGGTTAAATGCTTGGCTGATAACTGAAAGGTCAGCAGTTCAAACCCACCAGCCACTCCATGGGGGAAAGATGTGGTCATTGGCTTCTCTAAGACCTTAGAAACCTATGTGGCAGTTCACTCTGCTATACAGGGTTGCAGTGAGTCAGAATCAACTCATTAGCAATGGGTTTGGGCTTTGGTTTCCTCATATAAAAGCAACAGATTGTGAATTGTTTTGGAGAAACTTAAGTAATATTGACTGTTACATCCTCTACCATTTGTTGAGCACCAACTCTGTTCCTACTAGGAGTATAATTATGTCATCTACTTACCCCTCTGATATCATTGCTGATGTCCGATGGATCTTGGCTGAAAGCAGAGGATATCAGAAAGATGCTTACGTATGCTTTATTGACTACGCAAAGGCTTTCGATTGTGTGGATCATGACAAGCTACAGACAACATTACAAAGTATGAGTATTCTGGAACACTTAATTGTGCTCATGAGGAATCAGTATTTGGACCAATAGGCAGTTGTTCAAACAGACCATGGGAACACTGAATGGTTTAAAATTAAGAAAGGTGTGCAACAAGGTTGTATTCTTTCACCATACTTATTCAACCTGTATGCTGAGCAAATAATCCGAGAAGCTGGGTTCTATGAATAAAAATGTGGCATCAGGATTGGAGGAGGACTCATTAACAACCTGCAATATGCAAATGATACAACCTTGCTTGCTGAATGTGAAGAGGACTTGAAATGCTTACTGACGAAGATCAAAGACCACAGCCTTTGGTATGGATTACATCTCAATGTCAAGAAAACAAAAATCCTCACCACTGGACCAATAAACAACATTCTTATCAATGGAAAAAAGGTTGAAGTTGTCAAGGACTTCATTCTTCTTGGATCAACTATCAACACTCATGGAAGCAGCAGTCAAGAAATCAAAGGACGTATTGCATTAGGCAAATCTGCTGCACAGGAACTTTTGAAAGTGTTGAAGAGCAAAGATGTCAGCTTGAGGACTAAGGTGCACCTGACCCAAGCCATGGTATTTTCAATAACCTCATATGCATGCGAAAGCTGGACAGTGAATAAGGAAGACCGTAAAAGAATTGATGCCTTTGAGTTATGGTGTTGGAGGAGAATACTAAAAGTGCCTTGGGCTGCCAAAAGAACCAATAGATACGTTTTGGAAGAAGTACAGCCAGAATGCTCCTTGGAGGCCAAGATGGCCAAACTTTGTCTCTCATACTTGGGACATACTGTCAGGCGGGACCAGTCTCTGGGGAAGGATAGCATGCTTGGTATGATGGAGGGTCAGAAAAAGAGGAAGACCCCCAATGAGATGGATTGGCCAAGTGGCAGCATCGATGGACTCAAGTGTGGCAACAGTAGTGAGGTTGGCCCAGTTTCGGGCAGTGTTTCATTCTGCTGTGCATAAGGTCGCTATGAGTCGGTACCGACTAGATGACACGTAACAACAACAACTTACCCCTCTGAGTGTGTGGGTGGTGTAAACAGTTAATGTATTTGACTGCAAATGGAAAGATTTGAAGCTCCAGTACCCCCAGATGTGCCTTGGAAGAAAGACCTGATGGTCTTCTGAAACAATTAGCTATTGAAAACCCAATAGAGCACAGTTCTAATAGTTCTACTATGAGATACATGGGTTAGCCATGAGTTGGAATTGACTCAATGGTGACTGCTATTGTTTTAAATTTGACCCTTCGGACAACCTCTGAGGAAATCACTGATGCCTCATTTTACAGAGGAGGAAACTGACACTGAGAGTGGTTAAGTCAATGGGTCTCAACATTTAGCGTGAGAATCACCTGGTGAGCTTGTTATAACTGCTAATACCCTGATATATCACTCTGGAGAGTCAGATTTCATGGTCTGGAAATAATGCCCAGGAGTCCGTATTTTGGTCAAGTGCCCAGCTGCTAGTGGTGCAAAAAAACCACACTGAGACACCCTGGATAAGTGATTGCCCAGGACCATACAGGGGGCAGATAGAGGAAGCCAGATTTGAAGTCAGGGCTGGCAAATTCCAAAACTCAAGCTTCAAAGGCTCAACAACACTATCTACACAAGGAGGAGCGTGTGCAGACTGGTGTCAGCAGCGATTTCTGGGACAAATCCCTAGATGCAGAGACTTTTGTAATCTTCCAGACAGCTGTTTCCAGGCTGCAGGAGGCCGAAGCCAGGAGGCCATCAGTCAGCATGCTCCATTCCCACAGATCCCATGTGACTGGGGGTACCCATCCAGTCTGCTTACATCACCCTACAGCCAAAGGGGTTTAATATCAATGAAACACAGTTGTTCCAGAAGCAAGAGGCTCTGGCACACACCCTATCTTGTAGGCCAAGCTCTCTGAATAATCAGCTGTTGTTTACTTACCACATTTCTACTCCAGATAGAATAGCTTAGGGCTAGTCCCTCTTGTTGTTGTTGTTATGTTGTTATGCTGTGGAGTCAGATCTGACTCATAGTGATCCTCTACAGGATTTCCGAGGCTGTAAATCTTTACGAGAACAGAAAGCCTCATCTTTCTCCCGTGGAACAGCTGGTAGTTTCAAACAGCTATTAGCAGCCTGATTTGTAACCATGTCCCTGGGTGTGTGCAAATTGTTAATGGTCAGCTGCTAAGCAGGAGGGTTGGAGGTTTGAGTCCACTCAAAGATCTGGCAGTCTCCTTCCAAAAGATCAGCCCTTGAGAGTCGTGTGGAGCACGGTCTTACTGTGACACACATGGAGTCTCCGTGAGTAGGAGTCAACACACCGGCAAGTAGTTTTCACTATGTGGAGTGTGTATGTACTTGCAAGTAGTTCGGGAAAGCAAGTAGCTATGACTTAACTGAAGGCCCCCTTAGCTTAAAGTTTTTTTGCAGACTAGGCATGGTGACCAAAAAGAAAGTTTCCACTCACATTCTGTATCAAAGCATGATTTCATATTATTTTTAAAATCCAGAAATGTAGGAAAGATGAGGGGAGAAAAAATTCCACCTCCATTTTTCTCCCATGTTCAGACAATGGTAATCATTCATTTTAAAATATCTTCATTACTTTTGTTATTATTCTAAAAGTGTAAGTAATGTGGGAAAAATAAAAACAAAAATTTGAATTGCTTCTCCCTCTTGGGAATTGTTGTTGTTGTTAAGTGCCATTGAGTATTGAGTTGGTGCCAACCCATAGCATCGGGTTTCCGAGGAGCAGCTGGTGAGCTTGAACCGCAACCTTGCAGTTCAAATGGCTTTGCAGTCTGGCACATTAACCCATAGCGCCACACCAGGACTCTTCCTTCTTGAGAATAGCCACTTTTAAGTTCTTCCTTTAGATGTTTCTTCTCTGTTCAGTTTTTACGTTTTGTTTTTCTAATAGCTTTTCAGCTTCTGTGGGAAGTGGAGATGTTTATATACTTATACTGAAAGCTTTTCATTGTAAATATTCAGGCAGCATGATTCCATATAATTTTGCTCAGGTGTCCCCGTGCAATTCAAAGAAAAAAGAAAACAAAAAAGCAAGTCTTTTGAAAAACAAATTATTAGACATCATCCCCTGTGTTTTTACAGGAAAATTTGGGCGTTTCTCGTCCAGGTTACAAACCTTTGCATTCTTGGATGCTTCCCTAGGATAGACAAATGCCAATGAATGCAGACATCCAGAGCAGCAGAAATGCAGAAATCACATCTGAAGAGGAATGTGATTTTTTGCTTTTCTTTCTCAAAGAGGCATTCCCTTTCCCAAAAAGACACACAAGGGTCAAATCTAAGGCCTCCTTAATCACCCCAAGCACTCTTGTAACCCACTGGCATGCAAGACAAGTAGCTTTTCAGGTAAACCCAAAAACCCTTTGGTTACATTTGTCTAACATCAGACCAGCCTTAGAAACACTTAACGCTCTTTGCTTAGAGATATGGCAGTTACTGTCAGTGGAAAAGCAAAGACTGTTTATACATTCATGTTACTGACCAAGAGATTTCCCTGAGAAATGGACAGACATTCTACTGACTTGGACCTGTCCACCTTGGAGTTTTATTTATACAGGCACACCTTGGACATATTGCTGGTTCAGTTCCAGACCATTGCAGTAAAGAGAGTATCTCAAATTTGTTGGTTTTCCAGCACACATAAATGTTATGGTTATATTATGCCATAGGTCATTGTGCTGTAGTCCCAGTGTGGCGCTGTAGGATAAGCACTGGACCACGAGGTCAGTTTGTATCTCAAGGTCAGTGGTTCAAACTCATTAGCTGCTCCTTAGAAACTCTGTACGGGGTAGCTGTGAGTCAGAACCAGTTCTACAGCACTTAACAACAACAACAACAGACAGTTAAATGTACAATAACATTATGAAAAGGTTGCAATATTACAAGCATTCCCAAATTGTGACACAGAGGCACTGGAAAGATGGACCAATAAACTTGTTCCACGCTGAGTTGACAAATACCTTCGATTTGTTAAAAAAAAAAAAAAAAAAAAAGTTACACATGATCATTGAAGCACCAAAAAGGAAAGCAATTTGAACAAGGTATTTTTGGTAGTGGTTAGACCCCTAAACTGTATGCTGTCTTAGGACAGTTTCTTATTGTCTTACAGTCTCTGTAGCCTGTTGGTGAGCTAGAACTTCCTGAGGGCTGTGTTGGCTGTGTTGTAGTCAGGCTAACTATAAAAGATGTTTTATTTCTTTCCAAAAGGTCAGCCAGTGGTGTGAAGCAGGAATCTACCTCTTGGCCTCTCAAGCAGTAGACAAGTGCCAGTCACGAGAGGGGGTTGACATTGCCATGAATGACATTAAGACATTCCTGAGCACAGCCCAGGAGTACCAACTGCCCAACCTCAAGGAGTTTTACAATCAGTTTGAGTTGATACTCACTCTAGACATAAAGGTAATGTTTCTGGGTTATTTTGTTTGACCTTGTGGTTGAAACAGGGATATATGTGAGAGACTTTACCTGTTGCTTAAGAAAGTTCTAGTAAAAAATAAAAGTAAGATATAAAGAAAGGAAAAAAAGAAGGAACAGGTAGATAGAAGAACCAGATATGGACTGGGGGTTGGGGAAGGAGCCTGAGGAAGTGTTGAGTGACCTAAAGCCTGGAGAATGAATAGAGATAACTGGGTAAAGAAGAAACTGGGGAGGCTTTGCAGGCAGAAAGGCCTGTGTGTGAAGGCCAAAGGGTTAGAGAGAGCCTGGCATGAGTGAGGAACCAAAAGATGAAGGTGACTGGAGTAAAGGGAGCCAAAGAAGAGTAGTTGGGGGTGAGATTAGAAAGAGGCAGGTGAGGTGAGACTGTGGGTCACATTAAAATCTTCAGTCTAAGAGCAGTGGGAAGTCATGGAAGGATTTAAGCATGGGGGTAACTTGACTGGATTTACATTTTGAGATGAGACCTCTCCCATGAAGTAGCAGGGTGTTGGAACGTCCACTTTCCTCTGAGGTCTACATCACCATGTGCATGCCTCTTTTGAGTCATCAGCCCTGTCTTAGTTTTGCCTCTTTTGAGTCATCAGCCCTGTCTTAGTTTCATTGGGCTGCCATAACAAACTACCACAAAGTGTTCTGTGGTTCTGGAGGCTAGAAGACCAAGGTCAGGGTTTCTGCTGAACTATGCTCTCTCTTTGCCAGCTCATGGGGAAGATTCTCCCCAGTTTTATTCAGCTTCTGGTAGCCCCAAGCATTTCTTGGCATACTTTCGCTTGTAGATTGATGTTCTCACAGAGCCCTCTCCTGTCTGTGACTCTGTGTTCCTGTCTGTTCTTTCATTTTATAAGACCCCACTCAGGAGAGATTAGGATCAAGATCCACCTTACTCCCGAATGACTTCCCTGATATTGCAGTAAAACCTGAGAAAGCCAGAACCTGTGGAAGGCAGAAACCTGTCAGAGAAGGAAAGCTCAAATATTTTCTGCTAAAACAAGTACTAGAAAAGTGGTAAGGTTGCACCCTGTCAAAGGTGGAAAGCTTGAAAAACCTGGAAAACAAGACGGTCTCATGAGTCCCAGTTTTCACAGGGTTCATTGTATCTTTAAAGAAAAACCCTATTTTCCCCCAACAAGACCAAATTCCCAGGTTTAAGACTTCAACATGTTTTTGGGTATACAGTTCAATCCATAACTCCGCCTTCTATAACTACCACCCTACTCCTACCTCCCCTGGCAAGCTCATATCTTTCCCGTGTACAAAACACACTCATCTTACCCCAACATCCCCAAAGTCTTATAAATCCAGAATCTCATCTTTGGAATTATCCAAATCAACTATGGTTGAGACTTAGGTGTGGTCCATCCTGGAACAAAATTCCTCTCCATCTATGGACCTGGAAAACCTATGATGCAAGCTAACTGCTTCTAAAGCATAATGGTGGAATACGTGCAAGGAAGAGGGTCCCATTCCAAAAGGGAGAAATAAGAGGGAAGGAAGATGTCATGGGTGCTAAACCCAGCAGAGCAAAACTCATTAGATTTTAGGGTCTGAAATGAGTCATCTGTTCCCTAAGCCCACCCTCTGGATTCTGGGCAGTGTCCCCTCAGTCTGGATGCTGACCCTGCTCCCTGGGACCTGGGCTATTTGCCCCACTTTCCCAGCCCACAGCAACTTGACAGTCACTTGATCAAATTCCTTACCTCCTGCTCCAATTAACACCTATGTCTCAGTTTCCTCAACCATTAACTTATCACTGCTGCTAGAAGAATAAAGTAGTGGGTGCTGACCACCTAGTCTTAGCTACCCTTCCACCCCAAAATACAAGTTTGCATTGCCTTCATGCTAACACAATAAATTTGGGGTTCTTTTGGAAATTTGACTCACTAGCTGTGTTGTCAGAATATCTAGTTTACTGCACAACTAATCTTCTTGAAACCAGAGCATGCCTTCTCTGAAAAGACCCTTATACACAGACCCTGAGCTTAGTCTAGATTAAGGCTCAGCAAACTACAGCCCATCGGCCTAATTCACTTGCCATCTGTTTTTATAAATAAAGGTTTATTGGAACTACCACGTTTGTTCATTCATGTATTATGCATGGCTGCTTTCATGAAAACAGAGGATCCCAGAGTTGCAGCAGAGACATTATGTCCCATAAAACCTAAAATATATACTATTTGCCTTTCCCCAGAAAAAGTTTGTCAGCCCCTGAGCTAGAAAGAATACACAAGCCACGTAATGTAATTGAAGACTATCTAGTGGCTGAATTTTTAATCAGTAAAAGGAAACAAGTGAAATCAATATTTATAACCCTCGATTTCACCTGCCATCATGTAATCAATATATTAAAAAAAAAAAAGAGAGAGAGACTTTGCATTCTTTTTTTCAAAGAAAATCTTTCAAATTCAATGTGCATTTTATACATGCAACAAATCTCACAACATACTAATCATATTTCAAGCCCTTCATAGTTATCATATGGTTATTGGAGTACTGTCCACTCCATAGGACAGTGGAAGTCTAAACTCTAAGAGCTTCTAAGGAGCGAGGCCAAACCCAGGACTTGGTCCTAAGATCAGCATTCAAAGCATCCTGAGCCTATAAGGGAGTAGTTGTTTCATAATAGAGACTTCAGTGAGAGCCTCATCACTTGTTTCCTCAGAGTGTGGCCTACCATAACGTAGACAAAACTCACCATCTCGCTGGGTATGTTCTGAGCCCACACACATGGGATTGGCACCCTACAGAGCATTGTTGTTGTTGTTGTTGTTGTTAGGTGCCATTGAATCGGCACTGACTCATAGCAACCTTACGCACAACAGAATGAAATGCTGCCCGGTCCTGGGCTAATCTTACAGTTGTTCCCACGCTTGATCCCACTGATGCTGCCATTTTGCCAATCCTTCTCACTGGGGTCTTCCTCTTTCTCTCTGACCTTCCACCTTACTAAACATGATCTTCTCCAGTGACTGGTCCCTCCTGACAATATGTCCGAAGTATGAGAGACGAACTTTGGTCATTCTGACCTCCAAGGAGCACTCTGGCTGCACTTCTTCCAACACAGATATGTTGGTTCTTTTAGCAGCCCATGGCATTTTCAATATTCTCCTCCAGCACCACAACTCAAATGCATCAGTTCTTCTATGGTCTTCATTATTTGTTGACCTACTTTCGCATGCATATGAAGTTATTGAAAATACCATGGCTTGGGTCAGGCGCAATTTAGTCTTCACGGTGACACCTTTGCTCTTCAACACTTTAAAAAGGTCTTGGGCAGCAGATTTGACTAATACAGTACGTCGTTTGATTTCTTGACTGCTGTTTCCGTGAGTGTTGATAGTTGATCTAAGAAGAATGAAGTCCTTGACAACTTCAATCTTTTCTCCATTGATAAGAATGTTGTTTATTGGTCCAGTGGTGAGGATTTTTGTCTTCTTTACATTGAGATGCAATCCATACCGAAGGCTGTGGTTTTTGATCTTCATTAGCAAGTATTTTAAGTCCTCTTCACTTTCAGCAAGCAAGGTTGTATCATCTGCATATCGCAGGTTGTTAATGACTCTTTCTCCAAACCTGATGCCATGTTTTTCTTCATATAACAGTGAATTGGCACTTCGTTAGTCTGATTCTGGGGCTCTTCTTTGGTGGCAAAATCATCCAGAAGATGGATGTCAGAGTTGTAAAGACAAAGAAAAGGTTACTTACTTCCCCTGACCCACCATGGCTAGCAGACTACCATACTGGAAGGAAGACTGGAAGAAATTCATTCCCCTGAATCTAGTTCTGGTGTGACTCAAGGAATTTCAAGCCTTGTTGCATTCTTGTTTTCCTGATCCTCTGTCACAGAACATGTAATCAGACTAAGAGAACATCTATGAGTTTCCTCTTTCTCCTTGCACAAGTGGGCTTCAAAAAGTTCATGGGGAAATAGAATCCAAAGATAATGGAAAATATCCACAAACTTTTTGAAGCCCCCCTTGCATTTTTTTCAGTTTATTGATTTCCTACCTATATAGAGAGGAAAAAGTCACATAGAATAAAGTTTATATGAATAACCTTTTTATCACAGGTACCTTGTGTTTCCCTTGATCCTGCTTCAAAATATAGCCAACTCTTTCCCAAAAAACACATATAATCTTTCCCCCATCATGGCCTTTACTTAGCGTACCTCTCTTATTTTGAAGTCCTCCTGTTCATGGGTCTAATGCCCTTCACAATGACCTGTAGCATCCTGTACTATTATTCAAGGATGTGGCTTAGTGATCATTTATACACTCCACATCAAGCTTACCAGCTACTCCTTGGAAACCCTATGCAGGGTTGCTATAGGTCAGGACCAACTCTGTAGCACTTAACAACAACAACATCTATTTCCCTAGCACCACTCTGTCAGGCAGTCTTTCAGGCCTTGGAGGTACAGTGGTTAAAGAGATACAGTCATTGTCCTCAAGTGTTAGTCAAGTGGGAGATGCAGACTCTCAAGATGCACAAGTTTAGAGCAAGACAATACATGTAACAATTTTATTATGGATTGAATATATGCTGGATTCCTAACCCCTATAACTCTGGATGTGATCCCATTGAGGAATAGGGTTTCTTTGTTACGTTAATGAAACAATGTAAGTGTAGGGTGGGTCCTATACCTAATCACTTCTGAGCTATAAAAAGAGCACATTAGATGCAGACAAGCACACACTCGGGAAATTAGATGTCATGTGAAAATCTACAAGAGCCAAGGAAGGAATCAATGTAGCTGAGACCCTGATTTAGACTTTTGACCTCCAGAACTATGAGAAAATAAACTTCTGATCTGTAAAATCCACCCATTTGGGATGTTTCTGTTACAGCAGCTATAGGGTTGTCTGAGGGAGGTAGGGATGGGGCAGGGAAAGGTGGGAGAAAGGGAAGTCTTCTTGTCTTTGGACTCAGTGCAGAGACACCTAATCATGATTTGCTTTGTGATTGCAGGACAATGCCCAGAAAGTCCTTCAGAAGCTGGGCAATGTGCAGGAAATATTTGACAAAAGGCAAGTGAGCTTGAAGAAACTGGCAGCTAAACAGACTCGCCCAGTGCAACCTGTGGCCCCCCATCCTGAATCCTCTCCAAAATGGGTGCCTCCAAAAACTGGCCAGATCTCTGCCTTGGGTAGGTAGTTTGGGGAAGAAAGTTGTGTGATTTCCATGTTTCATCAACATTCATGGGGGTGGAAATGGTGATTGTTTAAGACATAATGGTCATTATTTTGACAGACATTTTATATATGTAGATATTGAGTCCTGGTGTGGCACTGTAGGTTAATGTGTTAGACTGCAAGCTCAGTTTGATCCACATGGGCGGCAGTTCTAGCTCACCAGCTGCTCCTTGGAAACCTGATACAGGATCGCTATGAGTTGGAACCGACTTGATGGCATTTAACAACAACAACAACATATTGAGTCCTGGTGTGGCACTGTGGGTTAATGTGCTGGATAGCAAGGTCAGTTTAAACTGCAAGGTCAGAGGTTCAGACTCACCAACCACTGCTAGGAAACCCTATCCAGAGTATCTATGACTTGGAACCAATTGGACAGCACTTAACAATAATGACAACATTTGCTACAAGTTTGCAAAATAGGAATGATACATTATTTCTCAACTTTTCAGACACAAGGTTTCATAATAAAGAATGACCCTCAGATCTTCATCATGTCTGAACAGGTATCATTGGCCTGGATCTAGTTACTGACTCACTTTGCAAAACAGTTCCGTGCTTTTGCTGTGGAAGGTAACCACTGTGTGTACTCGGGTCCACTAATAAGATTTTCAAACACATTTGTCTGATTCCTTGGTAACTGGGCCTGGGCCAAGATAAACTATAGTATTTCACAGTAAGAGGAAAGTGTGCAGAGGTGTTTGTAAACTGGAATGGGAATCTCAGCTTTAACTCTTGTTAACTAGGTGCATTGGGCACAACATTTAACCTTGCTGAAGTCTATAAGGAATGAGAGCAAGTTCTTTTGATGCCATGTGGGTATATTGTTGTTGTTATTATGTGCCATCAAGTTGGTTCTGACTCATAGCAACCCTATTTAGGGTTTCTATGAGCAGTTGATGATGGGTTTCAACTGTTCATCTTGAGGATACCAATCCAGTGCTTATCCTACAGCACCATAGTAGCTAAACTGTGCTGGGCACTTACCATGAGTCACTTTGTGCATATGAATTAATTACAACCTCATAACAACTCTCTGTATGCTCTGTAGGCGTCATCATTATTCCCCACTTCACACATGAAGAAGCCTTGGTGGCCCTGTGGGTTAGGCATTAGGCTGCTAATCACAAAGTCAGCAATGCAAACCCACCAATGTCTCCTTGGGAGAAAGATGAGGCTGTCTACTTCTGTTATGATTTACAGTCTCAGAAACCTTATATAGGTTCACTATGAGTCAGAAGCAACTTGATGGCAGTGGGCTCATTATTTGGTGTCACAGAAGAAGAGGTTAAAATGGATAGACTACATTGTGCAATGTGTATCCTTCCATGGAAGAACCAGATGTGAAATCTGGCAGAACGGCTTCTGACTCCATGTCTCTAACTATGTCACTGAACTTATAAAGAGCAAGTGATTGATTCTCAATCATGTGATCACCAGCTACACTACATACATTGCCAGTATCCACTTACCATGCGTGGAATTATGTTTACATAAATTAAGTTTACAGAGATTCTGTAGAGAGTGAGGAGCCTAAAGGATTGTCCATTGTTATAAAGTAACTTTGTGATCACAAAACTTGGGATAGCAAACTGTATACTTTGCTACAGATTTTGATGGAAATGTCTATGAAAAACCTTCAAAAGACTGCTTCCAGTTGGTCACAGAATTTAAGGACTGGGAGGGGCTTCTAGAGGCCAGATGGTCAAATTCCATCTTGTCTCCCACATAAAAAATCAAAGTGATATTTCGATGGCAATAGCTGAATACCATTTTTGCCCATAGGTCCTGCTAGAAATGTTCAAATCTTGTCTCAGATTAATCACATGCATCCTGAGTTTCCCAAAGAAGTTGTACACCCAAGGGATGATCAGAGTGACAAATAAAAACTCAAAGTGCCGATTACTTACTAGTCTTCTAGCTAATGCAACTTTCTGATAAAGTCTTAAATTTGAATCTTACTACCAGTTGGTCATGGAGCCTGAAGAAACGGAATGAAACATTTCAGGTGTCCTAGTGCACCTGTGGGACAGAGGAAAGAGACAAGAGAAGAAGGGGGAGAGAGAGTGGCTGGCAGAAGAGAATAGTAACAAAACAGCCCAGTTCCATCCTGACTCACCTGACTGATTCTGTCACACAGTCATTCCACTTATAAATGTGGTTCTATTAATCCTAGAATCCAACCATCAGACCACTCTTCTTCTGACTAGAGCAGACATGGACTTCCTTTTCTTCATAATATAGTATGATAATGTGTATACACGTATATGCTGTATATATAGGGGGGGGGCGGCTTTAAAGGAAACTGTAAGGAAATATACCAAGTGGTTGTGTTTAAATTTTAGTATTTTTCAAATTTTCTATACTAATATGTGTAAATGAAATACCTTCATATAGGTATTCGATTCAACAAAATATGGTACTAATGATTGAATCTGGTCTTATAAGAACAAAATCAACGCACGATAATTGCTACAGCAGTGCATAAAATAATCCATCAAGACTGGAATCATCAAGGAAGGCTTCATGAAGAACATGACCTTTTAGCTGTGCCTTAAAAAGGGGACTGATGGAAACTTGATCATTGTCACCATATTACATGTACTGATTGACTGGTTTCATGACTATGACTTTGGTCTCTTCATCTTAAATATCAAGTCTCTGGGGATAAGGACGCGATTTCTCTTCTGTGTCTCTCCGTTTGCCTCCTCCTTACTCCCCATCTAGGAAATCACAGCAGTTCACTTACACTTTGTTAATTGATGCATCAGCATTGTCTCCTTACTTGTCCAAGCCAGGCTAAGTACTCTGAGTTAATTACAAGTCAAATAAACAGATGAATGACAGGTTCTCTTCATCCCTCTAGCTCCTCCTCAGAAAATATCTGAGGAATTGCTTGCGGAGACAGATTTGAACTTCCTGGAGAAGGAAGGAGATGAGACTAAATTTGAAATTAAGGTAAGATCACCTTTATTTTATAGATAGAAATCTTTGACACAAGAGAATATTGCTGCCATAATTATCAATAAATCAGTAAATTGTGTTCCTCTATGATATACTTACTATCACTTCTGGAAGTTATGCCCCCTAAAGACATATAGCACAGACTGGTGCTCCCAAGAGCCAAGAAGTTTGTTGAATTATTTTATTTTCTCCGTTTTCTTTCTTAATTGCAACTTGATTCCAAAAAAAACCCTGCTTGGTCATATATGTCATTGTTATTAGATCCTGTTTTGTTGAGAGATAATTCACCTATTCTTTCTTATAATCTGACCTCATATTTAAAATTGCTAGTACTGTGTGGCACTGTAGGATAAGCACTGGACTGCTAATCATAATGTCGGTGGTTCAAACTCACCAGTTGTTCCTTGGAAACCCAGTACCAGGGTCACTGAGAGCTGTAACTGACTCATTGACTCATAACAACAACAGTACAGCATGAAGGTCATGTATAAAAACAATGACTAAATTACATTGAGCTATACACACAAACATGGAGCCCTGGGCTGGTGCTGTGGGTTGAGGCTCTGTGCTACAAAGCCCCTTTGAACAGCAAAGTCAGCGGTTCAAGCTCACCAGCTGCTCCTCGGAAACCCTATATAGAGTTGCTATGGGTCGGAACCAATCAATGGCACTTAACAACAACAACAAATACACACAAATGAGTGTATGTATAACTGGTGACATCTGAGTAGGCTCTGCGGATTGTACCAATGTCAGCTGTTTGGTTTGGATATTATACTATAGTTGTGTCAGATGTTGCCATTGGGGAAGGCTAAGGAAAGAATGCAAGGGACTTTCCTATGCATTTCTTATCAACCTCTGTGAATCTGTAATTATTTCAAAATTATGATAATTTAAAAACAGCATGCATTTTTAAATCAGGAAGGCCTGGGTTTATGAAACCTAACAATGGCTACTGGGGTGGCGCTGTAGGATCAGCATTGTACTGTGAACCAAACACAAGGTCAGTGGTTCAAACCTACCAGCTGCTCCTCAGAAACCATACACAGGGTCACTATGAGTCAGAATTGACTCGATAGCACGTAACAACAGCAACAGCTACCACTTGGGAACTGTTTAGAGCATCCAATGAGACAGTGTGTGAAAATATTTTTAAAATTGCCTAAAACTGTACTATTGGAAAGTAGCATTATGTTTAAAAGCCCAGTAAAATGGATTGTAAACATATGTTGGTCCAGAGTTCCCTTTCCCTTGCCTCACTAAAAATTAAATACCTGGCTGCCAGAATGATTCTCAAACAGACGCCAGAGATGATGGGCTCAACTGAACTTTAACAAGAGGCAAAAGGCCGCATCCATCATCTGTCTCTCATGTGCCTAAGTAAAGGAAACCACTAATCATTAAGGAGATAGGCAAAAAAGCACGCCTTAGATTTTTCTTCTTAGATGCAGAAACAGTGTGGAAAATAAAGTTCCCTGTAGACTTTTCTTAAATAGAGAAAGCTGCCATTTGTCTATCGGCTTTAGCTATCCTTCTGTATTTTGGGAAGGTTAGGGTACAAACATTACTGTTTCTTAATTATTCATGATTGCAGGTGTTATGTCCTGTCTTTAGAGTAGGGAAATAGTTTGCAAAGTGTTACAGTGTTAATCCATTTTTTTGAAATGAATAAACATAATTAAAGTTGCTTGACTTGATATCCATGAAGTCTGTGGAGTCATTGCTGTTATTGTTAAGTGCCGTTGAGTCGGTTCCAACTCATAGCAACCCTTAATAGAGTTTCTGAGGAGTGGGTGGTGGGTTTGGACCACTGATTTTGTGGTTAGGGGGTCCAGTGTTTATCCTAATATAAAAAGTATTTAACCACACTAATCTTCATCACTGACCGTCAACTTTCTGTACCTTTCTGTACCGGGATCTTCTAAGAGGACGCTATCTCTGGACTGAGGGCTGTACCACCTGTGGCAGTGGGCCTATGTCACTTACTCACCATGTGATGTGAACTCATTTCATATATCTGTGACTTAGTTTACCCATCTTTAAACAACATATTTGTGGCCTGCATGCTTAATACATATTTTAAGTTCTTATATACAATAATCTAAGTTAGAGTGAATTATCTCAATAATTGTTGTTGTTAGGTACCATCGAGTCAGTCCCAACTCATAGTGACACAACAGAACAAAAACACTGCCCGAACTTGGGCCAGCCTCACAATTGTTGTCATGCTTGAATCCACGAACAAAATATATCAGTGCTACCATTTTGTTTGTTTGTTTGTTTTTTAAAAGGGGGGGCGGCGGAGTGGGAAATAGAGTTAGTAAATAAGAAGCAACTTTCCTCAAGGAAAACTTTAAAGTATCTGAAACCAAAGGTTTGCCAAGGCTGTAAATCTTAATAGAACCAGAGTGCCACCATATCTTTCTCCCATGGAACAGCTAACTGCCACAAGTTTTAATCACTAGAATTTCAAGACTGCTGTGTTTCTATCAACTATCCATTACTATTTATTCCTGTTCCACATATTGGTGGGAAAAAAAAAAATAGACAATGCAGGAGAGGTGGGATAGTTTGGAATGCGTTGAACAAAATCCAAGAGGCTCTGACCACCAGACATTGGGTGTCTTCCTTCTTCTGCTATGTTATTTAGTTAATTCAGACTCAAAGGTAAGATGTTAGCTCCTCTCTGGGTTTGGCAGAAAACCAACAGTATGGGTATTGTTAAAGCAAGTGCACACAAAATAATCTCACTGCTGTTGAGTTGATTTTGACTCATAGTGACCCATAGGACAGAGTAGAACTGCTACGTAGAATTTCCAAGGTTGTAAATCTTTCACAGAGCATTCAAACTGCTGACATTTCTATTAGCAACCAAGCCCTTTTAACTACTGTGCATGCTGAATCATTCTCAGTGTGTTAATTGTTTTTTCCTTCTATGTCTTTGTGTAGTTAATAAAGGACTTTCACAGCAACTGTTTATATGTTAATAGTTAAAGTGATGGAGAAAGTTGGATAGGAACAGAGGCTGCCAAAGGAGGTTAGACTTCTGCTTATAAAGACCAAGGCTATGAGAAGAAATGTGAGCAAAATTAAGTCTAAGTCCCTGAATCCCAGACTTAGAAGTATAATTAGGACAATTAAATGCAACTCAGATTTCACACAGAACATGGTATACCCAGGGAAGCCATTATTCTAGAGTATGTAGCGTAGTGGTTACAAATCGGGCTGCGAACCTTAAGGTCAGCCGTTAGAGACCACCAGCTGCTCCGCGGGAGAAAGATGAGGCTTTCTGCTCCCGTAAAGATTTACAGCCTCAGAAACCCTGTACAGGGTCGCTATGGGTCGGAACCGACTCGACGGCACTTAACAACAACAAAAATAGGCAAACCAGTAAGAAAAGGGTAGTTTAGGATAAAAAGGATTTAATGCCTGCCTGTACCATCCCTGTTTAAAGGCTGTTTAAAGAAGACAAGGGGGTTGGCCAACATCAAGAACAGTCATAGCCACTTATGTTGTGGGACCACTGTCAAAGATGAAAAGCACCCTGGTGGCACAGTTGTTAAGTGCTCAGTTGCTAACCAAAAAGATCAGCCACTCCATGGGAGTAAGACAGGGCAGTTGACTTCCATAAAAATTATGGCTTTGGAAACACTATGGGAGCAGTTCTACTGAGTTCTATAGTGTCACTGTGAGTTGGAACTACTTGGCAGGAGTGGTCGGATCAAAGAGGAATGACCAGGATCGATAGAACATTATCTGACTCGAGATAGCCTAGAACTCAAACATGAGCTAAAACCCCATCAGTTTAGGAGAGCAAATAATCACACTGTAATAAATGTCACTCCTTGCCCTCAAGTGTTAACCACACACACCAGTAACAGAGTGGGAACCAAAATCGTTCATAATTACTATTAGAGCCACCAGCAGTCACCACCTGCAACTGAAATCTTGATTTTATTATCATCACAGAACTCATTCCCTGAAAAAGACACCTCCCTCTTCTCTGGCAGGGAGATGCTTGCTGTTCCATTTCTTGAGCTAAACTTGCTGAGGCAGCAATCTCTCCCCTGAGCCCTTGGGTCATCGTACTTGGCTCACTGACTGCAGCCTGAGAAAGCAAAGCGGCTGCAGAGGAGCTCAGCTGTGGTTGTTAGCAGCAATGATCTATTTCCTCTTGTTCACGTCATTAGCTGGAAGCATGACTCACAGTAGCTGCTTTCCCGGCCTTCCCACATACAACCTCTTCAGAAATGGTAATGAAATCAACGCTGATGAGAAATCCTTTTCACTGAATGTAGATCCACAGGATAAAGAGGAAATGAGCTACTGTCTGTGACAGTCAGTGTTCTGGCCACTTAGGAAAGTCATCTAAAGTAGCAAAGATCTTTCCAGGCTGCTGAATAAGTCAGGCAGTGTGCTTTAGGAATGTACATTACATCACTTCATCTCGATGAGACAGCGATAGGGAGCCAACTATCAGTGCCATTTACTAAAACTTTTTTTGTGCTAAGCATTTTCTCAGATTATTTTTAATCATCACAAAAGCTCTCCAATGTAAATGTAATTGTCCCTACTTTACAGATGAGAAAACTAAGATGCAGAGAAGTTAAGTCTTGTACAAAGCCACTTTTAAATAAAAAGTCAACAAGCTATAACTACCTATGTCTGCCTAAAACCCAGTTTTAATGTTCTTTTGATTTTATAAAATGTTTTCAAATTACAGGTCAAAGTAATGATAGTGAACTCCATTTGCAGGTTCACCAGTATTTTTAAAGATACATAAAAGAACAGAAACCAGAGGAACAGCATAATTAAAAAACAGAATGTGTCACATGTAGCAAGAGAAAGTTACAATATAATTTTTAAAACGTTTTTTCAGTAATATATTTGTGTAAATGGCATAATAGAAACATACCTTTTGTGGGTTGTGTTCAGATTTCAAAAGCCAGTGCACTATAATTTACCTATAGAAACTTTAGCAAAATGTTGAAATA